TAGCCACTGTCATATAGAATAGAGACATGGAACACCTCCAGGGCAGCATAAATCACTGGAAGGCACTGACATTGGCAGTCGCTTCATTCATAGCAACTATCCCTAAATAATCCTCTATAAAGTCGGGACTTCTAGTGGCCCCTCATGACTAGGGTCCTCTCGTCCTAGCCCCTTGAGGTTTCACAAGTAAGCGATGGAGGAGAATCCAATGTCACATCATCCCTCTGCCCCATCATAGACATCCTGAGAGCCTCTTAGTACCAATTCTACCCTCACCCCTATTGAATCTCTCATCTCAGCAAGTTCCAAGCAGACTAACCAGGTGGGCCCAAACTACTTCACAGTCGTATTGTACGTGCCTCCTGACCAGAGAAAACTAGACATGGGAGGGCCGTCAAGGTCATCTTGTTCTTGTGGAAGAACCACCAAAGAGGAAAGCACTTGCGTGAGTTACCCCATGCACAGTTGCATAACCAAACAAGCTCTTTCCTGACTCTTAATCCAGGCATCTTCCCGCAGTTCATTCTTAAATTCTAAGCACTTTCCCACTAACTGTCAACAAATGGTCTTCACAAGATAGGGCTTCAGAAAGACTCAAGTTCCCTAACTGCTAAGCATAGTGTCCTAAGCAACAGCACCTCACACACGTGTTGGGCAGTGCTGTGTCTCGAGTTTTCTTTCTGACATCTCATGTATAGTCAATGCTCTACTATGAAAACTAGTGTTGCCATTTGGCAGATTAGGTAACTGGGGCTCAGAAAGGATAGGGAAGTCATTCAAACAAATATAAAAGTTCAATGTATTCCCTAAAAGAAACACCAAGGGCACTTGGCACAGAAATAAAATACACAAAATTAACACTTGGTGGAACAACAACAAAAATATGAATGGTCAAAACAATTCTGAGAAAAAAGAACAAGCATAGAGGTATTACACATCATTACTTCGAGGTTTGCTACAGTGTGACAGTAATCAAAAGAGTATGATACTACAATAAAAAGACACACAGATCACTAGAACAGAAGAGAGAGCTCAGCAATAAGCCACATATGTATACACAGAGAGCTGATTTATGACAGAGAAACCAAAACATGCAATAAAGAAAGTCTCTTCAGTGAATGGTGCTGGAAAAACTGAACAAAAAAGCATGAAGCTTGAGTGCTATTCCCCACCAGAGACAAAAAGTAATTTAAAATAGTAAAGACTTGAATGTAAGACCAGAAGCCATAAAATACACAGAAAACATAGACCTTAGAGACATCTTTGGTAATTCGACTCTACATGCAAAGGAAACAAAAGCAAAAAAATGAAAAAATGGGACTATATCAAACTAAGAAGGTTCTACACAGTGAAAGAATCCATCATCCAAACAAAAACACCACCTGCTGAATGGGAGAAGGTATTTGCAAGTCATGTATCTGATAAGAGTTAATGTCCAAAATTTATAAACTCATAACTCAAAGACAAAAACAAGCCAATTTTTTTTAAAAATGCAGAGGCTCTAAATAGGGATTTCACCAAAGCAGCAAGCAGATGGCCAACAGACACAAGAAATGATGTTTGGCATGACTTATTCTAGGGCAAGGCAAATCAACCACAGTGAGATATCATTTACATCTGGTCTTCCAGACCAGAAACAAGTGTTGGCACTTGTATACTCCTGGTGGAAGTGTAAACATATAAAACTATGGCACCGATACAATTAAAGGAGCTTAGCAGTAAGAGATGAGATTCAAAAGGAGTCAGCCAGTCTTACAGACCAGAGACACGGGCTCACTCTTGTCCTGTCCCAGAGTCATCACTGGCCACATTTCAACTGTGCACTGGCCTCTGCCATACTGGACAGCACAGACACAGACCATCTCCAGCATGGCAACAGCCTTACCTGACATCAGTGGCATCAGCCACTGCCAGCCCTTTGAGTCAGAAGATTGAGCTACATGCCAAAGATGAGAGACTGATCACATTGTGGACCCCACAACCTTAGTGAACATTCCACCTCTGTCTTTTGTACTTTGATCTCATTAAGTTGCCTTTTTCTTTCTGCTACTTGCAGTCAAACCTATACCTAAGGCACACACACAATAAATGGAGAAAGAAATGAAGAATACAAAACTCTGTATACAAAGTGCTTTGCAGCCCCCTCCCAACATTTATTTAATGATACAATTTTCTGTTTGTTGTCTAAAACTGTTTTGTTTTTTAAGGTTGAAACAAACCCACAGGTGGAATTAGCTACATGGTCCGCAATGCTGAGTGATAAAATTAGACTATCAACTTAGGTGAATTGGGGGATTTTTTTTTTCAACTTCACACTATTCTCTGTCTCTGAAAATAAAGGGGGGGAAAGCATTCCTCTATTCCTATGCATTTCCGGTGAGACCTGCACAAAATGTGTAATTGGCTCTCCATAGACAGGCCAAGTGTCAATCCTCAGTGGGGAGGTCACCCCTGAGAACTCTGACAATTCAGTTAGCAGGGAGGCTATCTGCACTATCCAGGGACTCAGAGTCCATTGATGATGTTCTTCCAGACTCTTGGTGAGGAAACATGAAACGGGTTCCAGCACAGCCTGCATCCCAAGGTCCTTGCCTGCTACAATTATAACAGTAAGGCATGAAGAGAAAGGGAAGGCAGCTTCACTGATATTCACTCTGAGCCAATGTTTTAATATTATTTTAATTGATTAAATATAAGCACTCTCAACAAAACAGAAATGGGGGTTTATGTCAGAGACCGTATCTACTTAACAAATATTTATTCATGATGTTCCAAAAATTATATCAGGCACTTGAAAGGAACTAACTCTTTGTTTAGCCCAAAGAGCTTCAAAACATTTATTATTAAGCTACATGAAAATGCTTGAAGTTCTTTTGGGCGCAATTAAAACCTCTTCTGAATAGTGGAGAAGAGCTAAAAGAAGAACATGTGTGGACAGATCACACAAAATAAAATGAATAACTAGCAGTGATGATGATGGTGTTCACAGCCATTATTTATTGAGTCTATGTTACGGCTCTATACCATGTTCTTTTCTAAAAGTTTTATGTGGATATTAGCTTATTGATATTCAGAATAATCTTACAAAGTCCATAGTATTGTTAAATTTATTATATTTATGCAAAAACAGGAACGTAGAGAAGTTAAGCAGCTCAGATTTCGATGGTGGATGAGAGGCAACTGATCCATTTAAACAATTTCAGAGCCGATCCTTCTAATTTTACAGGAAGATGTGCACTCCTCACAGGAGAAAATGTGTGGAAGGAGCAATGTGAATTCATACATAAAGGACTGTGCCTGGACTAAGGATTGTTTATTCAGCACACATGATGGAGCCCCAACTACATGCCTGACATTTATGGATGCAAAAAAAAAGAAAGAGTTAAGTAACAGCCCTGCCCATGAGGGCTCACAGTCTAGTGAGAAAAACATATAAAACAATCAGAATCAAAGTGATAAACACATCATAAAAGTATGTCATGATTAAAAAAGAACAATGATATAAAATATATGTAAATAAATAAACTTAATTTTTTAAAAACTACGTCATGGTAACCATGAACAGGAAGCACCAATACCGCCCAAAAAGGGGAAGCCCACACAAGGGAGATGACTTCAATCTAGGTCTTTAATCTAGACTATGTGATGGGAAAAGAGTGGTAAAGTCATGCCAGGCCGTGGAAATGGTGTTTTCTCACATGGTTGGCAATCCAGGACCATGACTAGCAGGGACCACTGAGAAGTGGGAAGATTTCCTGGTGCCTTTAAAACCACCATTCAGCGGCACGTTCAGCCAGCACTCAGGAGAAAAGGCACAGCCCTGAGGCCCACAGCCTACCATGATGCCCCGCCCCTCTGCAGGAGGCTACCTGCAGCACCTCACCTGGGCTCCAGGGGGCGCTGAAAGGATGGAGGGCAGGCGCAAAGCCAGGGTGCAGAATTCTAAACCCAACTGGGGCCAGTTTTTCAACATTCTCTAAATTGTTCGCAATTTCTAATTTGTGGCAGCAAAATAAGGCAGAGAGGGGGATGTTGAGTGACAAAGCAGTCACATAAACACACTCATCTCACTTCACCAAGAAACACTAATAGGCATTTAAAGTAATGGACTTGGCAGAATACTCAGAATACAGGACAGAGTCTGGACTAGAAACACACTTAGCTTAGTATTTCCCTACCTTTTAAAAATGTTAAGTCCCTTAAGATTTTATGCATTATATACTTATTGATATCTGGAGAAGTCTAGAAATAATTCCCTCTGTTAAAACGTTGGACTTGAGCTTTCCCTATTGCTAGCTACATCTATCCCATTTCGATATTTTTGTCAATGTATGTGTTCTGGACATAGTACGAGGGCCCAGAGATTTGACTATCTTTGGTGCCAACATGTCACAACAAATGAAATTGCTCTAAGGATTTTTCAGGTTCTTGCAGTTAGCTACTCTATGATGGCTGCAGCATGTCAAGAACTAGCCGCAAGAACAGAAAAATTCAATTCTCAAAGACACATTTGTCCATATTAGAAGAGAAGATTTAAATTGGTTCACTGTGATCATTCATCTTTCAATTTCCTTTTAATGAAATATAGATTGTTATCATGAGTAAAGCTGAATGATTAGGAGAGCTGGGAGAAGAATGATAGAAGAAAGGATGAAAAAAGGGAGGGAGATAGAGTGGGAGAGAGTCATAGAAAGAAGTGACTTAACCTACAAAACATTTTTCAAAGTTTCTCCTTTGCATGTCACTTAATTCCAGCCTTAACATTACTTAAACCCATGATATTGTTAGCTGTCATGAAGGCAATGTGATCAGTGTCCTTGAAGCATTACTCCAGGACATCATGGAGTCCTTGGTTACTAAGGAGAATCATGCCAACAGTAACCTCAAGTCCATACATTTGTTTCTGCCATGCTTGAAATCTTGACTGTTCCAGTAAAATCAAAAGTCATTTCAAGAATAAAGAATAATCAGACAGACATTCTTTAATGGCTTTCCCATTTTCAGTCCATTCCTGAGGTCTTTTTGGCCCACAACTTCCTCATGGCGATTTTCACCTCTTTGTTTCTGAGTGTGTAGATGATGGGGTTCAGCATGGGAGTGATGACCGTATAGAACACGGCCACCAGCTTGTCCTCAGTGAAGGTGGAGGATGGCCGCAGGTAGAGGAAGATGGCAGGACCAAAGAACAAGAGGACCACTGTGATGTGAGAAGTGCAGGTGGATAGGGCTTTGCGTCGCCCTTCTGCAGAATGGTTCCTCAGATGGACCAGAATGACGATATAGGAGGACACCAAGAAAAGGAAGGAGAAGACAGAAAACAGCCCACTATTGGCCAATACAACAACCCCCTGCACAGAGGTGTCCGTGCAAGCAAGCTTGAATAAGGGGTGGAGGTCACAGAAGTAGTGGTCAATCACATTGGGACCACAGAAGGGCATCTGGACGGTAATAAAAATCTGAACCATGGAGTGAACTAACCCCCCGAGCCAGGAGCCAGCCACCAGAAGATGACACACAGACCGGCTCATGATGGTTGTGTAATGAAGGGGCTTGCAGATGGCCACGTAGCGGTCATAGGCCATCACTGTGAGCAGGAAGATCTCAGTAACGCCAAGGAAGTGGAAGAAGAATAGCTGAGTCATACAGCCCTTCAAGGAGATGGTTTTAATCTTAGCAAGTAAGTCTGAGATGAATTTAGGGGCAACAGTAGAAGAGTAACTTATCTCCACCAGGGACAGATAGTAAAGGAAGAAGTACATGGGAGAACTCAGACTTTTACTGGTGCTGATGGTCAGCACGATGAGGCCGTTGCCCAGCACCGTGGCCAGGTACACAGGAAGAAACAGCGCAAAGCACACTCTCTGCACCTGTGGGTCCCGGAAAAGGCCGACGATGATAAACTCAGTCACATTATTTGCCCTGGCCTTAGATTCCATTCAGACGGGCTGGATGAGAGAAAATGAGAAGAAGCCTGCAATAAACAAACACTGATGTCACACCAACCTGCTGATGTGGAGCACGTCTTCCAGTGTCAATCACGTTGTTATATACACTTACCACTGTGTCATTCTGTTAGTACAACTCATTTGATAGAAATATTAAAAATGTCATAACAGTTTATATATTAAAAAATTAAGGCACAGAGAAATAAGTTATTTATCCAGGATATCACAGCAAATAATAGATTCTGAGACTCAGAAACAGTATATCTGGCTGATTTCTCAGGAAAAAAAAATCAAAAGAAATAGAGTGGCTCTGTGCCAATAGGAAACAGACCTAAGGGTTTCAAAGAAGACAGGTACAGCAAAAAATTGCACCAATACAAGCAGTATGTTACACTACCATAGCTTGGTACCTTTGCCAAAAGGGGAGTGAAGTAGACACCCAGACCCAGATAATTAGAAATATCTGAGACCCTCTCAAACCTTGGAAAATCAAGTAACTGAATTGTTGGGAGACTCCTCAAGCAATGTTGATGACCACAGCCTCACTCAAGAGTCCCAGGAAAGGATTTGGACTGAGAACAGGGTGACGATGATCACACAAAGCTTGGGGTAACTCCAGTCGTGTGTATCTTCTCTTCTCCAAGCATTAAAAAAACTTTGGAGCTTATCGTTGAATGGAAAGCTGATCTTCTTACTGCTCTACCTGATATCCTATCAATACCTCCCCCTGCACACAGCATGAATTATAATATCTGTAACATGGAGTTCCAGGTCCTTCCTCAATTGGCCATCGTCAATGCTGTAGCATTTCTGTCATTCCCCAGAAGAGCATAATATAGCTATATCCATGGTAATAACAGTGGGCTGTCCTGACTAGTTAGCTTCTCTGTGTTTACTTGTCCTTTTTCCTAGATTGCAAGTAACATGTCACTACTATAGAAACAATGCATTCCTCCAGTACTTTATCACGCTACTCCCAGAGCAATTAACAGATGCCTTTAAAATTGTAGTTCAATATCTGTACCTTCTAGCTACAAATAAATGTACTGTAATAATATTCAAAATTGTCTATTGACTATTCTTAAATCTTTATTATTAATTGCATTCTGCTTTATAATTATAACTAGCATTTCAATATTACTATGGCACACATCTTATACTGCTTTATATATATTGTTGAATTTTTCTAGCAAATCTGTAATAGGGATATCATTAACATCATGCTCTTTTATAGAAATTTACTGTAAGAAGTTAACTGCCGTAGAACCAGAATTTGCCTACAAAAGCAAATACATTTTATCTGGGCTTCTATCTATTTGTGATAGAACAAAACTGTAACACAAGAGTAACAACCTGAGAGTTCACTCAGCTAAAAGAATCATTTAGGGCTGTCCCTGGTGGTATAGCAGGATAAAGCACAACACTAAGAAGCTAAAGCCACTTCAACATGAGTTCCATCCCCACCCGCCCGGTGGGGCGCACAGCAGACCTCTCCTGACCCGCCCACTGCTCCCCTCAGCAGTGTACTTCGTCAGTCTGCCTGTTCTGCTCCCCACTCTGTCTCTGGTGAATCCTATCACCCTCCGCATCTCTGGCCTGTACCCCAGTTCTGTATGCATAAATAAATAAATCTTTTTTTAAAAAAAATCATTCAAAGTCCAAGTCTTCAAGGTTTTATGCCAAGGAGATGGAAACTTGATAGTTTTTCCATTCAGTAACTACCTTTTCCTTTTCTGGCATCTCTGCCTTTTTATGTTTTCTTTCTGCTGTCTCACTCCTCTCCTGTCTCTTTATGTCTCCCACACAGCTGGTAGAAAAATAATTCCACTCTCGCCTAGTCACAAAAGCTGCCTCACCAAGAAAATGTGACCGGCATGTAGGAGCTTGCCTCAACATATGAATATGAAGATCTACAACAGGGAACTGGCTGCTCCCTAGGCCACAGCACAGTGACAAATTACAGAAGATATGAGACAGGTTCAAGTACCCATGTTAACTGATCCAGAAATAAGCAATGGATCCTCCATCCCTATCATATGCTCCAAATACTAACCCCAAATGCTACCTTACATGGCGCCAAAATCACAAAGAGCCTTAAAAATCACCAAACTTTATCTTATATATATAGTTTACAATTAAAACATAGACAAATTTCATTCAACACTCCACCCCTTTAAAAGCCATCAAACCCAACCAACCCTCTTACAAATGTATAGCTGTGGCTCAGAGAGACACTGATTTGCAGAATGTTCTAGCCACTTTGAAACCCTGCATCTCACCTGGCTAATTTTTCACTGAAAGCTCTCAATGAACAAAGTTCAGGTCACACTCAGCTAAATCACTCTCAGAGTTGGAGCTGAAAGGTATTTAGAGACCTTTCAAACTAACCCTTCTGGGCAAGGTTAGCTGACACCCAAGATACATGGTAGATATGTATCTGACTAACTTGGAAGCTCTAGCTGGACATCCTAATTCAGCACTCTTTCAACAAGAGGATTTGTTCTAACTGTTCTGGGTGGTAGCAGCTACAGCAGTTCAAGAATCTTTGTCTTTGTCCCCAAAGACAAAGCAGAGGATAGATAAGATGAGTTCACAAAAGGAAGGGGGAGGCACGTTCAAATAACATGGATCTAGATTGATATTTGGATTTATACCACCTAAGAATTAAGTCACTGGAAGCCCACATTCAAAAATTTTAAAGATTTTCCTCCATGTAGAAAACCAACCTACCTACCCACTGAAAGTCCAAAGGTTGTGATTAAGTGCTCAGATCCTGAACTATTTAAAATAAATCATACACACACTATAACCAAGGGAACAATTTCCCCCATGGATTTTTCTCTCTCTGGGGTGAAACTCTGTCAATTAAACTATGACTTGGGAGAGAGTCAAAATCAGTTTCAAGTTGTTTATGAGATTTCTAGAAAGTTTTGTACCCAATAATGAGGGAGTTTAAAAAAAAGAAAGAAAGAAAGAAAGGTAAGGCTTAAAGGTAACTATTTCAAGACTGGCAACTGACAATGAAAAGGAAAATGAATAGAAAAGAAAAGCAATGACTGGACAGGGAGCCAGAATACTTGTCACCAGCTCTGTGACAGGACTGGACCTGTCACCAGCTCTGTCCAGCAACTGATTATCTAACTGACACGGGAACTGATAGCCATGTCATTTCATCTGTCTACTTACTCACTCTCCCTTACCTGCTTCTCGATGAAGTAACACCCTTGTGCTAGACTACCTCCCCTGTGCCTTCTATTGTAATTCTAACATGTGGTCATGTATAAGTCAGTTAGTCTTCAGTGTCTCAGCATCGCCATTAATTCTGGCAGGTATTACATGGCTTGACTGAGTAAAGTGTTAAATGAACCTAACAGTCCTAAACTGACTGAACAATTAATTATGTCACAAATGATCTCTGATATCCAAGCTACTACAAATCATATTTATGTTGAATTATTTGGGAGCTGTAACTAATAAACTGCTTGAGATTACATCATTGATCCCCTTCACCTTCAGAACAGAACAGAACCCTGATTTTTAGCAAAATGTAATACCACTGAGAATGAAAGACTAGTTTGCAGTCTCCTGTGAAATTAAGGGTGACTAAAATTTCTCTTGAGTAAGATGAAATCAAAAGCACTTATTAAAAAATCCCTTGAAATGCCTTAAAAATCCAATGATGAAAAACCACATGATCCAGCAATAACCCAGAATTATCACAATAGCAAAGATATGGAAACAACCTAAAGATGACTGTATAAAGCAGCATTAGTATATATACTCAATGAAATACTACTCACTTGTGAAAAAGATGAAATCTTGCCTTCTGCAACCATATGGATGGATTTGAGAAGATTATGCCAAAAATTGTAATTGTAAAATACAATTACTGGATGGTTTCTCTCATATGTAGAATATAAATAACCAAAGCAAATGAACTAACAAATCATAACTAACAAACTAACAAATCTGAAAAATACATTGGTTACCAGAGGGGAGGGGAAGAAGGAAAGGAAAGTATAGTAGAGGGCACGAATCTGATAGAGAAAAGGATATTGGAATCTTGGTGGTGGGTGAAGTGAGGTGGAGATTTATCTAAAACTGAATAGTGCTGAAAATCATTTAAAAAATCAATAAAATTCAAGAGAAATCTCCAAAAAGGGAAGGTTATCAATGTACACCCTACAATACAGATGAAATGCTAGAGTAATGTTGTCCAATATCTACTAGCTACCAGTAGTGTTTTGTTGTTGCTGTTTTTAAACTTCTAAAAATTAAATTTAAAATTCCATTCCTTGCTCTCACTCACTACATCAGCTGCTCATTAGCCACTGTCATACAGTACAGAGGCATGGAACACCTGCAGGGTGCATCAACTACCGGACAGCACTGGCCCATGGCACTAGCAGCCCTCTGAGGTCATGAAATCCAGCTTTATGCTGAAGATAGTAAGGCACAGATTTCTAGAACAGGTCTTCTCTTTACGTTTGTAGTTCTCGTCTACCTCAAGTAAGTTGCTAGTTGTTTCCTTTATATTCAGTCAAAACTATGCATAAAATAAACCAATAGTAAGTGTGAATAGAAAAATTCTTCCTTCAGAGTAGTTTGCAGCCTTCTTCCACCTTTTATTTTTGAGATACAGGTATTGTCTTACAAATAAATACATTTTGATGGTTTTGTTCTTGTGACAAAATCAACAGTGGAAATGAACGGAATCACCTCTAATGCTAAGTGATATAATTAAAGTATTACTACTTTTATGAATTGCGTAGGCTTTTTTTTTAATTTTACAAAATCTCTCTCTTAAAATACTTTTCTAAATGCTTTTCTTTGATTCCTGAGTATTTTCTCAGTGAGACCAGATCCAAGTGAGTAATTAGCTCTCAAGAGACCCACCAAGTCTCAACCCTCAGCAGGGGAAGTCATCCCAGAGAATTTTGACACTCAGCGAGAGGGAAGATTATCTGCTTACTGCAGCATCCAGTGACTGA